CTCCCACATTGAGCAGCCTTACCTTTCAGCCCTGGGCTATAACAGCATCCTCCAGGCTTAGCAACTCCAAAATAAAAATGTGCATAAAAGGCAAAGCCAATGCTGTAACATTTTGTAATTAGCATTGCTTGAGGGGTTTTTGATTTTAACAAGCTGATTGCAATATGATAGTTCAGGTTTTTAAATTATTAAAAAAAAAAAAAGCAGCTTTGTTCTTTCAGTGACTCAGGCCACTTTGCAACTTCTGAAATGCAAGCAAATGGAGATAAATCTGTAAAAAATATAAATTGCTGTATTATTCAGCAGCTTAATGGAAAGGAAAATAATAGTCTTTTTTTTGTCTTTTTTTTTTTTTTTAGGGCCACTTTTTGTACAAAAGAATGTATTTGGCTGTTCCTAGGTGGTGAGAGAGGTAGGGAAATGGGAATGGGAAAGGGCAGGGGGAATGTGTGGTTTGGTGTCAGCTGGATTTCTTTTTGCAAACCTCACCCAGCAAACGTGGGAGGCTCCCCTGTAGTGGGTTCGACCTGCAGAGAGACGAAGCTTTCACCCAGGGGTGATAAATTAAAATAATGGAACACGTTTTGCTCTGCTGGTACTGGAGTGAATGCTCCGTGAAAATAACACTGGGGTGGGTTTGTGCTGAATTTAAATAAACTCTTTGCATTTTTACTGTTAAGGAAAGGGATAGGCTGAGGTGGGATATTGTGTGGTCACTGAGAATGTGAATTATTTCTAGGGGTTTAATTTATTAATGATCTCCAGTGCTGCTGGGATGAGCAGAGGTGAGAAGCTGCCCTGTGAAGGCATTACTTGAATTTTGGAGCAGGTTATTTCTGAAACCTTTGTGTCCATTACCTACATATCCCCAACAGTTTTTATGGATTATTTTCTTGAGACTCAGGATGATCTGGTAGTTTTACTTCCAGCTTTCTGCTGCTTTTGCATTCCATACTTGGATATTTCCCTGAAAATCCTGATGGGATGAGGGTGGGCAGGCCCTGGCACAGGTTGCCCAGAGAAGCTGTGGCTGCCCCTGGATCCCTGGAAGTGCCCAAGGTCAGGTTGGACTCCAGGGCTTGGAGCACCCTGGGCTGGTGGAAGGCTCAAAGGGATCTCCCTCATATTTTATTCCTTTATTCCATCACTGTCAATCAATCTGCAGAACCTTTAGCCTGGAGCTCCAGGCCAGGAGAGGAAACGCTTTTGCTCTGCTGTGTTTTCAGTCCTTGCTTGTTTTCAGGCTAACCAAGCTCAGCTTTATCTTTCAGACACTTGAGCTGCTGATTCCAAAACAGCCCAAACAGAGTAACTCAGAGCTGAGTTTTGTCCTTAAGCACCAAAGGTGTTTATTTCCTGCAACGCTGGGAAGCAGCTCCCAGGTCCTGAGTGAAAAGTCAGGTCATTTAAACAGTTTTCCCAGAGAGGTTACAACATCTTTCACGTACATATTCATTGGATTTCGACATCTCATCATCATATTCATGATGGGCGGGGTTTGGGCGGAGCTCGAGGCGGGGTCTTCTAGAATCATCTTTTGGGTGGTCCTTGGCTCTTCTGCCTCGCTTGAACTTCTCAGCTCTCTTTGTTCATCGAGGCAGTTTCTGGAGCTTGCAAAACCTCTTGACTCCTGGCCTTGGTATCTGCTTCAGGTGCCCACCTTATCTTTATTTATAGGTTGTTTAAAGTACATTCCCAGTATCTCTTGCTGCAGTACAGTCAGCAGGACAGAACAGGCTCAACATAAACAGAGCATCTCCCAGAGCGTGGTACCGACCCTCTCCTAGTTCATCCTTTAAAACCTTGCTCTGTTTCGCTCCCCACAGAGGGAGACTTTTCAAATAGCCAAAGGATTTGATTTTCCTGAAAGCAAAAAGGTAGCAGGTGCAACCCAGGGCTTGGCACGTGGAGCATTAAGTGATGTATCCGAAACTATCTATGAATGTAATTCTTCTAATAATATTAAACGTTATTTTGAAATACCTTTTCGAAGGCAGTTCTTATTCTTCAGACTCTCTTCGCTGCTCACTCACTGACTTGAATTTTTGTCTGGCTCCCTGAGGTTGGAAAAGCCCTCCCAGGCCATGGATCCCCCTGTGCCCCATCCCCACCTTGTCCCCCAGCCCAGAGCACTGAGTGCCACGGCCAGGCCTGCCTTGGACACCTCCAGGGCTGGGCACTCCAAACCTCCCTGGGCAGCCCCTGCCAAGGCCTGACCACCCTTGCCAGCAACAAATTCCTCCTCCTGGCCAACCTGAGCCTGCCCTGGCACAGCTGGAGGCCGTTCCCTCTCCTCCTGTCCCTGTTCCCTGGGAGCAGAGCCCGACCCCCCCCGGCTCCCCCCTCCTGGCAGGGATTGCAGAGCCAGAAGGTCCCCCCTGAGCCTCCTTTTCTCCAGGCTGAGCCCCCCCAGCTCCCTCAGCCCCTCCTGCTGCTCCAGCCCCTTCCCAGCTCCCTTCCCTTCTCTGGACATGGGAAAGCAGCAGGAATGCAGAAATGTAGAAGTAGGAATGCTGTGCTGTGGGAACCAGAGGCAACAGCACAGGGAGCCTGGAGAGCAGCAGAGCTGTCAGCCAGCACCACCAGATCCTTCTCCACTGGACTGGGAAGTGCCTGGTGGGAAAGGCCCTGGGGGTGCTGTGACAGTGGCTGGACATGAGTCCAGCTGTGCCCAGGGGGGCAAGGGGGCAATGGCACCTGGATCAGGAATAGCGTGGGCACAGCCCAGGGCAGGGATTGTCCCCTGTGCTGGCACTGCTGAGGGACCTCCAGGGCTGTGTCCAGTTCTGGAACCTCCTGGAAGAGACACTGAGGGGCTGGAGCGTGTGCAGGGAAGGGAAGGGAGGTGGGAAGGGGCTGGAGCAGCAGGAGGGGCTGAGGGAGCTGGGGGGGCTCAGCCTGGAGAAAAGGAGGCTCAGGGGGGACCTTCTGGCTCTGCAATCCCTGCCAGGAGGGGGGAGCCGGGGGCTGCACTGGGTGTTCCGGGAGGTCTTTCCCAGCGCTCGGAGTGCCGGTGGGTGTGCGTGTCGCTGGCCCCGCCCGTGGGGCGGTGTCTCTGTGCCGTATCCCGCTATCCCGGCCCCGATCCCGGCCCCGATCCCGGCCCGGGCCGGCAGGGGCGCCGCGCGCAGGGGGAGGCGGAAGCGCGCGCGGGGCCGCGGCCCGAAGATGGCGGCGAAAACACAGGGCGGGATCCGCCTGAGCGCGGTGAGTGCGGGGCCCCAAACGCCGTCCCTTCCCAACCTCCCCCGCCACGGGCAGGGACGCCTTGCACCGCTCCGGGGGTGCTCCCGGCCCCGGCCGGCCTGGCCTGGGGCGCTGCCGGGGTCGCTCCCGCAGCGCGGGCGCTGAAGGCGCTTGGGGCCTCTCCCGGCCCCATCCCGGCTGGAACCCTGGAAAAATCACCCTGCCCGGGCTGTGCCGGGGGCTGAGGGGCGGGCTGGAGTGGGGGCCGGGGTTCCCCGGGCTGTGTGACCTCCAGTCGCCGGCTCGGCGCTCCAAATCCTCTGCTCCTGCGTTGCGGGCGGCCTAATTCCATTCTGACCCCGGCTGCCCGGGAGGGCGATGGGTGTTTGTGTAGGGAAACGCTGCCGGGTTGTGCTGCTCACCACTGCTGTTGTCCTGCTGTGGCAGTCGGTCATTGCCCTGTTTGTGCTGAGAGAAATGAAGTTCAAGCGACTCTTTTCTGTTTGGTGAAGCGGGAGGTTTTTTCCCAGCCTTTCTTGGCTTCAGCCCTCGGGGCCTGTAAGTCTCGCCTGTGTTTACAAACGCCTGGCTCGTCACCCTAATTAGAGAATAATAGAACAGAAATAAGCAGGAGCACTGCAGTGAGTGACTCGTTAAATTTTGGAGTGCAAAAGGTACATCAGTACATTCTCAGCACTGCTTAAACTGCACCATCATTTAGGGTGGAAAAGACCTCCAAGAGCACTGAGCCCAACTTTTGACTGAAATTATGTTACCTTAACATAAATGTACATGGCCTGAATATAAATTTGATATTCAATATGAATACCTGAATATAATTTGCCACGACTTTAGAGGTGAGTTATAAACATCACCTGCTTAAAGTTCAGAACTTGTGCTTTTTGTTCCAGGCCTTTAACTCCTGTGTTTGAAAGCCACACTCTGTCTGGTATTTTATTAGAACAGTGTTCTCTTCCTCCTTTATCTAAAGCTTTTGACATGTTACTTCTTGAGGGGGGAAGAAATATCAGCATTAATAATCAGCGTTTGCAAATCAACTGCAGAACACAAGCCAGAGTTGAAAATGGTTCTCAGGTTGAAATCAGTGAACTCTAGGAGGTAAAAGTGAGACACTGGGGCTGAAAATGGTGCTCTTGGTGACTTCCTGAATCATTTTTAGGCTGCTCTTTGGTTTGCCTGTCCCAGGGGTGGCTGAGAATTTGCATTCCGTGGGTTCCCAGTGAAAGCTGGGGCTCCTGGAGGGTTTTTTGCCCCAGTGCAGCAGCTGATACGGCTTCGAGCAGGTTTGGGAAAGGCTTTGTGACCCGGGGAACGAGGGGGATGGTGGTCACAGCCTCTCCTGCTCTTTGGAAATGCCAAGTATTTCCCAGACTTTCAGAAGCACAGGCAGAGTGAGGGCCTGGGAAGTCGTTCCCACGCTGGAATTTGTCTCCTGCTGTTGCTCTGGTGAAAGTTTGGGTCGGTTGCAAGATGAGTCAGATCAGGGAAGTGATCCAGGTTAATATTTTAAGAGTGGTTTCTAATTTGGATCAGTCCCCCACTCTGGTTCCTTGCACAGTCGTGGACCTGGCACAGAGCAGCCTGGGAGGGAGAGGAGAGGAAACTCCAGGAAGTTTTCAGGAGGAATTTCCTGCTGGAAAGGGTGGTCAGGCCTTGGCAGGGGCTGCCCAGGGAGGTTTGGAGTGCCCAGCCCTGGAGGTGTCCAAGGCAGGCCTGGCCGTGGCACTCAGTGCTCTGGGCTGGGGGACAAGGTGGGGATGGGGCACAGGGGGATCCATGACCTTGGAGCTCTTTTCCATCCTCAGGGATTCTGGGATCATCATTTTGGAGAGAGAACCTGTTTATCCTTAAATATCTGCTGGTTATAACTGTCTGAGCAGTTTTGCCTTTCAAGTTTGCACAGTTGGAAGGAGGGGGAGGTTTGGTTGCATCTCCAGAAGGAATTTGGCTGCACTTGGTCTCGGGAGAAAGGAATGAAATTACTAAACAAAACACAATTAGTACCAAAGGATATTGGCTCAGTGGGCAGAGCAACGGGATTGTCAAAGTGAGTTTTCACCAGAGGACAAACTCTTACTGAACCTCAATTATTCATGAGCTAATTCAAGTGGTGCGCTGATGAATGAAGTGGAAGGGGCCAAATGGACTGAAATATTTCCTGGTGAGTTCATCAGGAATCAGGGAGTGGTTGCTGACAGCTGGGTGTGCTGTGAAAACTGCAAAAATAATGGCCTGAAAACCACTCTGCTACATTGCTTTAGATCTGGTGTTGCTGTGTGCCCTTCTTTGGGTGCCTGGCATGATCTAGGCCAGGTTGGGTGGGCTTTGGAGCAACCTGGGATCATGGAAAGTGTAATGGGATGAATGTGGTGGGGTTTTCTTTCTGTGCACGTGTAGGAATCGCTTCCCAGGAAAAAAGGGACTTGTCGGTGGTGATGTCAGTGCTGGTGACACGGAGGTTCTTCCTGTCTGATTTTCCAACCCCAGTGATCCTGTGCCATTCCCAAGTGTGGGTTTGTGCAAAGTCAAGACTTTCTCCCAAGTCCCTGTTGCTGAGGCTCCAACGCTGCAGTAAATCCAACATTCCCACTCTGCCTCCTGTGTGGTTGGAGTCTTCCAGTATTTCAGCAGCTGCCAAATGCCTGGATCCGTGTCCCTGTGGTGGGCTGGGCTTTTTTGAAGTGTCTGTGGGTTTGTTTTGACAAGGAGAGATTTCAGACAAAAAAACCCCAAACCTCACCATGTTTCTTGTGTGTTTTAATGGTGAAGTTGATAAAAGAGAGGAGCAAACGGTACCAGGGAATGAGCACAGGGCTCCTGGGATCCCCTGAGCTCCTGCATGGCAGAGGAAGAACTCAAAAGAACCTTTGAAACATGAATTTTCTTTTGGACTCTCAGTTATTTACAAGTCTCCTGTTGGGGCTCGGTGGAGCAGGGTTTGTAAATCTGGAGTTGGGAAGCACAGATGGCTGGGAAGGACGTGGTGTGTGTTCTCACTTGTGCTCCGGCTCCCCGGGGAGGAGAAATGCAGGGATTGAGTTGCAGTTGGAAGTGTGTCATGTGCTCCTGTGACCTCAGGATCGAGGTGACACTTCTGGGCAGTTCCTGCTGATCTGAGCTGGGGCTGCTCTGACCCTCCTCCCGCTCTGCAGCCTGCTTTGTGGCTCTGGAATCTGCTTTTGGCGTTATTCCTTTTCACTGGGAAAGGAACTTGGAGATTTGAAGTGGTCTTGCTTTTGTTTAGAGTGTTTTTATTTTTTTCCTTGCTTTTGTTTAGACTTTATTAGCTGCAGAAAAGTGGTTGTCAGTGAGTAGTTCTGTAAAGATTAAGAAGCATGGATCTGTACACAGTGTTTTAAAATAACCTTTCTGATCTACTATCTGTAATAACGTGGGTTATATTCTGATTTTTATGGGATATATTAAACCTCAGCTTTCCTGAGTTACCTGGGAGTGCTTTGGTCACTGAAATCTCGAAGATACGTCCCATAATCAGGACTTTTATTTGCATATCCTCATCCAGTTCTGGCAGTGGCTGTGCCTTGGGTTGCTTCTGCTCATAAATGAGGGTAAAATGCATGAGATCAAAGTGCTCAAAGAACAAATTTAAGAGGGTCTGAGGGGTGGTTTTGGTCACTGTGGGCAAAGGGACAGTAAATGGTGGAGGCTGTTGGGTGCTGCTCATCGGTTGGGATTAAGTTTTAACAGCCCTGACTTAAGAAATGTGGTTTTAACATCTGAGAGCTTGTGCTGCTGAGGCTTTGGTGTTTTCTGTGAGCTCTGGCATCCTTACAGGCGATGTTTGGTTGTAAAACGATGAAGAGACCGTCGATGGGCTGACAATGTCACCTCCAAGAGCTGTGTGAACAGCCCCTTGGAAAGGTATTAACCTGCCAATATCCAAAAAGTGAATTAAATTACAGCCTTTTGTGGTGTTGCACGAAACAGCTTCATTGAATTTCCTTTATTTAACCTGTTTTCTGCCGGGTGTGCTCGGGGAGCACAAACTGATGCCCTTGTTTGTGGTTTCTTTCAGCTTTGCCCCAAGTTCTTGCACACCAACTCCACCAGTCACACCTGGCCCTTCAGTGCAGTTGCAGAGCTCATAGGTACGTGCACCCAGAGCTTGAAATATTTCATTTTCCTGTCACAAAACCCTTTTTCCTTCAGGCAGGGAGGGGAAGAAGTTGATCCTGTGATTTCTCAGAGTCTTGCAGCTTGTTTTTTTGTTATGGTCAGGTTGACTTTTTTCTTTCCTGTGCTGGTGATCTTCTTGCCCTTGATTTTGAGTAGCAGTTGATTGGATCCCTTGAGTGTTCCTCTTTTCCACGGGTAGGGAATGAGTAGCAAATTTATTTCACTGGTTCCTCAAAATGAAGGTGTGGCTTGGGAGGACTTGCCAAGTTTGTTGAGGAGTTTGCTGCTGCCAAAGGGAGCAACTGTTCTGGTCACACATTCCTGCCCTTCCCTTCCCTGGAAAATTAACCTAACAAAAGAAAATGGGAGTTTTTTACCCAGATAAGGCCAGAGCTGCCACAGAGGAGGAAACCAGAACCACGTGGCTGTTTTGGGGTTAACAACATGTGAAGTCGTTTCTTTAACACCCCAAATCCTTCCAAACTGTCAGTTGTACCTGAAATGTCCTTTTTTCTGATGCTGAAATACATTTTATGGAGGTTTTTCACTGTGGATACAATTGGTACTTAATGTTTGTGGTAAGGACCCTCCCAAGCTGTGATGGATTCCCTTCTATGGGCTTGAGCTGTTTGTTTATTTAGTTATTTATTAACCCTCAGCTGAACCTGCAAATCAGGCAATGAGGCAGCTGTGCCATCACATCCCACCCTTCCTCCTCCCTGGGCTCTCCCCTCTCAGGAATTCCAGGATGAGGGGAAGGGAAATGCAACAAATGATGTCAGGGCAGGTGAGATTTGAAGCAGCTTTGCTGCCAGGGAAGGTTTGTGCAGCCCCAGCTTCTGGTTCGCTCGTGGCAGCTCTTTCACTACCTGTAAATAGAAAGTTGAGTCTGAAGCACTTGGTAATTCCCTCTGGGAGAAAGTAAATATTGCACCAGCTGCTCTGGGGGCAGGAAAGGAAAGTAGAAACCTGCCTTGGTTTCATTTTCGATTCTCGTGGCTGAGCCTCCACCTACATTTTTTTGCCTCTGTGTTCCTGTGCATAATAATAATAATTTGTAACAATATGCAATAAATATTATATAACAATAATAAATGTATATTATAATAATGATATATAATGTATAACCATCTGTAATCTCTGTGGCAATGTGTGTTGGGGTGTGGGTGAGGTTCACCAGGTTTGGATGCAGCTTCTTCGCTGTGACATTTTGATTTGAGGAAATTTAGGACACTGACAGCTGAAGCTCCTCAAAATATGTCCACACTCAAACTGTTTAATTTCCATCTCTAGTATCCCAGCCTTTTTTCCCTCCTTTTCCTGCAGATAATGCCTATGACCCAGACGTAAATGCAAAGCAGATCTGGATTGACAAGACCGTCATCAACGACAACATCTGCCTGACGTTCACTGACAATGGCAACGGGATGAACTCGGAGAAGCTGCACAAAATGCTAAGGTGGAGAACCCCTTCCTGTAGAAATTCCAGCTCCTGGGTCTGTTAGTTCTCAGCTTGTTCCTTTTCCTCAGGTGTAGTTCAGTCACTTGGGTCAGAAACTCAACATTCCTGAAGGGCAGTGATTATCCAAGTGAGACTCCAGAGTGTACAAATGCCTTGGAAACTTCCCCACAACTTTGTCATGGAACTTTGATCTCCTAATTTCCTTTGATCCTTTCTCTCAGCCTCCCCATTTAACTTCCCACACACTGTACTGCCTCTCTGTAGTGCCCATTAGTGGAGATAAAGAGACTTATTATTATTATTATTATCATTATCATCTTTACTTAACAAACAACTTTAGTTAACAAACAAGCAAAAAGGGAGATGCAGCTCCAACCCTTTGGAGTATTAATAACAGAAGGTCTTTTGGAAAATTGAATGAACGATAACGTGACTTGTCTGTTTATCTCCAAATATTCTGTAGGGTTGGGACTGATCTTTCATTTCTACAGTTAACAGAGAGGTTTCTGTCCAACTTCTCCTTCAGGGAGAAATAGAAATCATTTAAAAGGATTTAAACTTGAGCAGGCTTGGATTCAAACAGTTATTTTTGTGTTGGGTGCCATCATTAACAGCTTGCTCAATTCCATGTTCCATATGCAGTTCCCTGTTTTATTTTCAGTGTAGTTACTGATGAGAAACTTGAAGATCAAACATTTTCTACCAAGTAGAGGGGGGAAAAAAGGAAGTTTAGGGGCTTATTTTAGTATTTATTGTGAAGTTAATTGTTAGAATCCCATAAGAATGCTCACACCTGACTTCAGGCAGATGATTTCTCAAAAGATGGAAGCAGATTTTCCTGCGACTGATTGCACAGGAGTCCCCTATCCCCAAACCAAGAGATGCCCTCGTTGTGTGAAGCCTAATTTGGCAATCCCTGCAGATTGGGGGGGGGTTGGGGAGTTCTTCAGGGGTTGGAGTTCCTGGAGTTTGCCACGTTGTCGTGCGTTGCAGCTTCGGCTTCAGCGAGAAGTCGGTGATGAACGGGCGGGTGCCCGTGGGGCTCTACGGCAACGGCTTCAAGTCGGGCTCCATGAGGCTGGGCAGGGACGCCATCGTCTTCACCAAGAACGGCGACACCATGAGCGTGGGGCTCCTGTCCCAGACCTTCCTGGAGGCCACCAAGGCGGAGCACGTCATGGTGCCCATCGTCACCTTCACCAACCAGCATATCCTTCCAGCACGGGCTTGGAGGGGGGGAAAGGGGGGCTGATATCCCTAAGGCAGATCCCCTTGCCTGGTTTTATGGACTGGGAGATGGGATTGGTTAAAGCCTTTATGGAAGAGCTGGGAGGTGTGGAATGAAAGGGGCTGTGGTGTGATGGTGCCAGCTGTAACCTAAGAACGTTTAAAACTTTACAGTTTGCCCCAACTGCTTAAACTTTGTAACCTTGAAGCCCTTTCCTAAACACTGCTGAAAAAAAGAGTGGAAAGTAAGAATTAAAAAGTCAGCAACCTGTGCAGCTGTAGTTTGGTTAGTTTTGGAAACCATTGCGCTCTAGAGAGCTAAATCAAGAGAGAATGGTTGAAGTGAAAGTAGTCTGAGTCTAATCTTTAACCAGAGATGGATGATGAGTCCTGCCACAATGAGATATGAAAACACACTCTAGAAGGCTAAATTCATCAAAGATTAAATAGAAGTTTTATGAAGATTGATGTTGATGTCTTGTAACTATTTCAAAGATTGTTTAAGTAAAAGAAGTCTAAGTTATCTTTAACTGAAGTTTAATGTCGATGCCTTGTAATGAGGAAATGATTGACTGTCAAGGAGGGGCTTGAGGAGTTTAAAGTGTGTAAAAGCTCAGGAAATCCTTGTTTATGGAATGTCTGTGGAGGAGCTGTCCCCAGCACTGCCCCAAAGGAATGCTGCCTGAGCAGCACCAAGCTCTTGAGTTTAATCTCTTGGAATCAGGAATGAGAACCTGGGAAGGGAATGCAGACATTTCCCAATGTTCTGAAAGCTCCAGTTCATTCCTGGTCCCTGTCCTTGACTCAGTGCCCACGACAGATCAGTGACCCAGCAGAATCCAAGAACAGCCTCAAGGCCATCTTGACACATTCCTTGTTTTCCACTGAGGAGAAACTGCTGGCAGAGCTCGATGCCATCATGGGGAAAAAAGGAACCAGGATCATCATTTGGAATCTTAGGAAGTAAGATCAAGCCCAGTCTTATATCTCTTATTTTCTTTCAGTGTGAGCAAACATACAAGCATTTGGGGATTTTTTTTTTGTGGAATAACTAGATATTATATTAAATAACTGGATATTTGGGGTTGATTTTTAGTGGAATAAGGCTGAGGGCACTAACTGGCAAACTGGATTCCAGCTGGCATGAAGGGCCATGATCCTGTTGCTTTTGCCAGAAGGAAAGCTGAAATAGATAAAATTACAAATCTGTTCCCTCAGACCTCTGAAATGATGAATGTAGAAATTCAGACACAAAATACTTGAAGGTACAGGCAAATAATAGTGGATTTTAAAGCTCAGAGCCTGCAGTGTCCTTCTGGAGGGATCTGGACCTTTCTAAGCTTCTTGATTGTTTTATCACAAACTAAACAGCAATCTGAGCAAGTAAATAGTTGTGTGTATTTATCTTACTTATCTCCTTGCCTCTGTGGGATTGCTTCCAGCATTTTCTGGCCTTGACTTGTATGCTGATGCTTTTATATCTTTTTAACCAGCTGTAGCAGTGGCAGTTCCCTGTTCAGAGTTAATATATAATATAATTCATTGCCACTTCACTTGTATTTCTGGGATAGCAGAAAGGAACAGGTGAACTTTGTGACTCTTAGTCAATCTCTGGGGAAAACCACTACGGATCAGAGGAATTCCCCTTTTATTTTCTGCATCTTTGGGATACCCACCACCCCATCTTACCTTGTATCAGCTTTTCCCTCCTCATCCCCCCCCCCCTCCCCCATAATCAGTGTATTTTTCAAATCTTATTTCTCAGAGATAAAAATGAGAAACCAGAGTTTGACTTCGACAAGGATAGATATGACATCAGGATTCCAGAAGACTTGGATGAAACAGGCAAAAGAGGATATAAAAAACAGGAGAGACTGGACCAGATTGTTCCAGAAAGCGACTACTCCCTGCGGGTGCGTCTGAGAGTCGGTAAAACTGGGATTATTTTGGGGAGCTGGAGGGTTTATGGTTTTAATTTTAATGTAATGTATGTTTTGTAGGCCTACTGCAGTATTTTGTACCTGAAGCCAACCATGCAGATCATCCTGAGAGGACAGAAAGTGAAAACACAGCTGGTTTCCAAAAGCTTGGCCTTCATCGAGCGGGACATTTACAGGCCCAAATTTCTGAATGTATCCTTTGCTTAATATTTACATTGTGCTATTTTGGATTGTTTTTTGTGGTTTTTTTGGTAAAGACAGACTGAGGGAATTAACCTAAAGTTCCAGGACCTAGACTGAGCACTCAGAGTAACTAACCCTTATTTTTTATGTTACATGAGATTAACCAGTTTTTGTTTTGTTTTGTTTTTTTCCTTAATATCTGGTCAAAGGCCAAAACGGTCAGAATTACTTTTGGGTTTAACTGCAGAAACAAAGATCATTATGGAATAATGATGTACCACAAAAACAGGCTCATCAAAGCTTATGAAAGAGTTGGCTGCCAGCTGAAGGTAAGAAATCAAGGCTCCAAAATATTTTCACATCTTGGGGAGTAACTGTCACTGGAACGCTCATTTTTAAAAAAGGGCACAGATGGAAACAAGGATATTGAAAATTCTTTTTGATCTGGTGTAGCTGGGGTTAATAATTACCTCTGACAGCCTCTTGCAGTCCTGGTCTGGAATGTGTGGTGGTTTTCCTGACACACCTTGGTTTCCTGCAGGCGAACAACATGGGGGTCGGTGTCGTCGGGATCATCGAGTGCAACTTCCTCAAACCAACCCACAACAAACAGGACTTCGACTACACAAATGAGTACAGGTATTTTTATCTGCATTTCCCACCCAGCAGTGCTGTTCACTGTGAAACAGTGCACGATAAAAGGTGCTTCTTCTCTAAACTGGAAGAATAAAAGCTCGTGGGTGCTGAGCAAACCTGGTTTATATTCAAACAGCTCCTTTTATCCCTTTTCCTTGTGTACCCTCTCCTTGTTCCTCCCTGCTCCTCCTTCCCCCTGCAGTTGGCAGAGTTCACTGACCCTTCCCAAACATCCCAGACCCTCAGGTTTAATCCTTAGCAGCTGCAAAATCCTGCTTTTCCAGCCGTTTCTTGATAATGAGTCAGTCAGTGTGAGTGAGCACGTTTGGTTCTGCTCATTATCTTTGGCAGTGCTAACTGGTCAGGTGTGATGACCCTCTGGGTTTGTCTCCTTCCCTTTTCTCACCTTCCCAACTGCAAACATGAAGGTTTTTCCCACTCCACGTACCCACAGCAGTCAGTGGGACTGACCAGGCTGGCTCCTGTCACCTCCTGGCCCAGCAGGCAGGAGAAGACACTCCCTTCCCATGAGCCCCAACACTTGCTTTCCATGTGGATTGAGAAATTCAGGATGCTGAGTTGCAAACTAAAGCTGGAGATGATCCTTCAGCACACAGGGGGGTGGGTTCTTTCCCAGTGGGTGTCCCTTTGGCAGAGGGCAGGTTCAGTCTGTCAGCAGAGCCCAGAAGTTACTTTGGAGTCTTCCCAAACTTCTCCCCATGTCACTAATTGTGAACAGTGAGACCACACTTGCCAGGGCTCCTCCAAAGGTCTTTCTGCCAGGAGTGCTCCAGGCTTTCCAAGGTAATTTGCCAGCCCAGAACAGCAATGTGGACCTGATGCTGTCATTCCCTGAGCATTGGGAGGTGTCCTGCACCTCCTGCCTCCCCAGAACAGGGCTGTGATCCCACCCCTGCTCCTCTCTGCCCTTGGGCTGCTTCCTTTTCCCGGCACTGGATTTCAGTCTTTGTTCTTCCATGTGCATTTCCAGTAATTTCTTTGCTGACAAACATGATTTCACACAATTTCTCGTTTCTACAGCTTTCTAAAAGCAAAGAGCTGTTATATAAGGCTTTCTAAAAGAAATAATAATAAAGAAAGGAGATCTGAGAAAAAGCCTTTGGAGTGGTTTTGTGCGAGTAGAAATATCGGAGTGTTCCTCCACTTCTTCTGTCACTGGAGTTTCTAGAGGTTCTTTCTGTGCTAGAATTGGCTTATTTAAGGTGATCCTTTAAAATCTTGTCATTCTAGACTCACAATAGCAGCCCTGGGAGAGAAACTCAACGATTACTGGAACGAAATGAAGAGGAAGAAGAACGAGGAATTTCCCTTGGCTCCGCCGGTTGAGGAGATCCAGTGAGTACCAACCGCAGCCAGGAGCTTTACACGCTGGGGCTGTTGTTTCACACCCAGTCCTGAGAGGGAGCCTTTCCCTTTTCCCCTGGCAGGAAGCAGCCAGACCAGACGTGGGTGCAGTGCGACGCCTGCCTCAAGTGGCGGAAGCTGCCGGACGGGATCGAGCACCTGCCGGAGAAGTGGTACTGCTCCCTGAACCCCGACCCGCAGTTCCGGTAAGGACACATTCCAGGCACTGCCCCACCCTGCTCCTGGTTTCTCACCTCATCTTAAGCTCTTTGTGTTGTGGTTTTGTTTTGTTTGTTTGTTTTTTTTCTCCTCCCCTTCCTTCACTCAGGAACTGTAACGTGCCCGAGGAGCCGGAAGATGACGATTTGATACATCCCACCTACGAGAAAACTTACAAGAAAAAGTGAGTTCTGGAGACTTTTTTCCATGGTCTCAACGCTGTAAACTGCTCAGGAGAGCGGTGCAGCAACTGGGGCTCGAGGCCAGCTCTGAGGAATTCCATAGGAAACTCCTAATTCCATAGGAATTGGCGGTGTAGGAATAGTTTGGGATGTTACAGAAGGACACCTTGTCTGTGTAACTGTTACTTTAAAGGTCCACCTTGAAGCAGCTGAATATCTGAATTTCTTTGTTTCAGAGGATTCTTGGCTAAGGTGTGTGGGGAAAAAAAAAACTGATTTGGGTGATTTTAATGCTGGCTGATATCCTAAAATTGGGAGTTTGGGATTTTTTTTCCCCATTTTTTAAAAATAAATCTTCATCTGAGAGGGAACTTGTTTGAAGTTAAGCCTGTAAGAAGTAGGTTCATGCAGAAGAATTTAATTCAGTAAATAATACTTTAATTAGAGCTGTACTGTATGTAGCTGAAATAATGAGCACTGTGTTTGCTTTTAAATGTGGGGGTTGCTTTGGGTTTTTATGAGTGAAGTGTTTGAACTGAAGCCCTTAATTTGTTTGTTTGTTTTTTTTATCTTGTTGCTGGGCAGAGACAGGGAAAAACTGAGGAAGAGACTGGAATACAGCCACCAGGTAACTCCTGAAGCTGCCTGGAATCTGCCCTGTCTGCTTTAACATCCTGTTTTGCTGTACAAGATTTGCTCACCGTGGGTAAACCCCAAATGCCCCATCTGTGCTGTCCCACGATGGAAAATCCAGCACTGCAAAGAGAAAGGAGTTTGAGAGGGACAGGAGAGGGACTTGCCTCTCACCAAGCAGTGTAGAAAAGATGTCAGTCACTCCCAGCAGGATTTATGAAATGGCACCTCGTGCTGGAAGGGGATTTTGTGTCAAGGGATGTGTTGGGGATGTGAAAGCAAAGATGCCCTTAAAAGTGGGGCAGGGGATGGGCAGGGGTGTAGCAGCTGCACCTTGTGCAAGGAGGAACTCAAATTCTGATTAAATGCAGATGCAAATCAACCTGGTTGAGCGGTGAGAATGTGGAGACTGCAGCTCAGAATGAAATTTTCATAGATGTGATTTAGCTCAGGTTGCATTCTGAGTAAAGTGCTGACCTAAGATCATTTCTGGAGAAGAGATGTCACATGTGCTGCTTTAACCTAAATAATTTTAAAAGTAAAGTATTGTTCATTTTGGACAAGCTGAGTTAATTATGAGCAGCTTTTTTAGCAGGGGTGTCTGTGCCACACTTTGTGTGTGATGGGCAGACTTCAGACAGAGCTACAGCTTGGGAAGAGCTCTTGTCTGGGATTCTGCACAGGATTTTAACTGGAAAAGCTGGGATTTGCAATGTGGAGTCTGGTTAGGCTTCCTTACTGCAAAATCCTGAGCCTGGGTTCAGAGAGATCCTTGTAGTACATAAATGTCAGCCAGAATTGTAGGTGTTGGGGTATAGTTAGAACTTAAATCTGTTCCGAAGAATTACTAATATCTGTTTATTTTCATTCTTAACTTATGTTATCTTATAGATCAATAATGAAATATTTTTAAAAACATCTGTTTCTTCAAGTAAAGACTTCAAAACATTCACAGCTGTGAGTGGAAAGGAAGCTGCTCCACGGTTGCTTTTACCAAAATCATCGGATGCCACTCTCAGAAGATCTCTGCCTATTTTAATCAAATCAGTGTCTTCCCTTCACCCAGACGCTGACAGCAGGTCAGTGCAGCTGCACAAAGCAGGTTCCTCTCTTTCTGAAGTGAGTGGCACTCCCCAGTGTGTTTTCCTTACCCTCTGCTCCCGAAGGAGTTGGGTGTGTGGGGATGTCCCTGGAAATACGGACTCTGTTACAAACCACGTGTGAAGGTGGCTGTTGGTGCAGGACAGGAGCTTTACTCTGCCTGCCCATCTTAAAATCCCCTGCAGGGAGGGACAGCCCTTTCTCGTTAGGGAGTTTTTAACCGTGCTCAGAGAAGCACTAAAGGTGGTTTGAAACAAACAGTTGTGCGGTTCAGTGACCGGTTGAACGTTTCCCTTCTCAGCCTCAAACGGAAGTCGACGAGTTGCGCGACACCCGTGTCTGCGAAGACACCCCGACTAAACACACCAGTCAACCACCACGGTGATGGGGGGGATGAGGAGGATGATGATGAAGATGTCATCATTTTAGAGGAGAGCAGTACTCCGAAGCCTTCAGCTGATCCTGATGTTCCCACAGTCAAAACGGAGTGCATCAACCTGGATCAAGAGGAGAAGCAGAAGGAAAACCGTGAGGTCGGAGAGCTTTGCGCTGCAACCACTTCAGAACCCAGAAGTGAACAGCTGAGCTCAGCAACGCAGACAGAGCTGCCAGGCCTGGTGGTTAAAAAGGAAGAGGTGGAAGATGAAATCCCCGTTGAAATTCCCGGGGCACGGGTGGAAACCGAGCGGCACAGCGTGAACGGCGTTGCCGAGACATCCGCAGAGACCGAAAGCGAACTGAGAAATCGGCTGCAGTTGTTGCACAAAGAGAAGGAAATGTACCAAAACAAATGCGAGGCATTGACCAAGCAGGTGGAAGCACTGGAGGAGAGGCTTTTGGAAATGAACAATAAGTATGTAAAGAAGGAAATGTGCCACCAGTCGACAGAGACAGATCCCTCGGGTGAGGAGGAAAATGGCAACGGCAGGAGTTTGGCACAGGTGACCGTTCTCTACGAGCAGGCCTTGGGAGAAATAGCCAAGCTGCAGGAGCAGTGCAATACCCTGCAGAACCTAAAGACTGAGTGCAGCAAGTGTGCTGATGGGGAGAGCAAGAGCGAGGTGGAGGAGATGGCCGTGCAGCTGGACGACGTGTTCAGGCAGCTGGACAAGTGCAGCATCGAGAGGGACAGGTACAAAAGTGAGGTGTGTGCTTAAAACGTTCCCTTAGCTCTGGGGTTCAGTGCCTGCTTCGTAGCAGGCCTCCCACACAACGTGCTGCGTGGGGTTTTATAGCTTTTTCTTCTCTTTCTGTTGCCAGATTGAACTGCTAGAAGTGGAAAAAAACCAAATGGCCTCTCAGTGTGAGGAGCTGAAGGCAGAACTCGCCCAGCTGAAAGCTTCGATTCCACAAGCGGTTGCACATGCAAATGATTCTACCACCAGTAATGTAGAAGAGACTGTAAATTTTTCTGATGGAGAAAGGTATCAGTTTTGTTCTTTCTAGATAATATTTCAAGGAAGATTATTATTTTTTTTTTGACTGATTGATTGTATCTGAAACGTTATAATGAAGGTTTTGTTTGATAATTGTATAATAAAATGTGATGTTTGGAATTCTTTCCTGCTGCCTCGTGTGACTCCCCACTCAGTAATGGTTTGTGTGAGCAGGGTTGGCACAATAGAAATGCCATACTGATACTTCTTAAAACTATCAAAAATGTTCTGTGATTTGTAGCCATGACTTGCAGACCAAGGAGAGGAAAGGGGAAGAGGATGATCTTTAGCTCATGCTGTGTATTGTACTTCACTTGGAGAGTCTGTTTTTCTTTACTGAAGCAACAGTTCTGGACTGAAAAGAGTGTTTGGGTTTGAAATGTAACTTTCCTGCAAGAACTCCTGGCTGCAGGCCAGCCCTGTGGAATTGGGTTGTGTCCAGAGCGTAGATTTGAACTGAAACAGGGTTTAAACTTACAAAGAGAGGGGCTGGCAGCTCTGGTAAATAGGAATTGCACACACACAGAGGGCAGGGAGCACATGGAAGCAGGGATGAGATGAGGGCCCTGAGCCAGGAGATAATCCAAGGGTGAAGTGACTGAATTAAGGGACCATTTAAACAAATTCCTCCATGGAACCAGATGAGAGGCAGCAGAAGGAGCTGGCCCACGGAGGGAGAGTTGGCCTTGCAGTCTCTCCAAAAGGTTGTGGCACTTGGCATTCCTGATGCCTGGAAAAAGGCAGTTGTCATGCCCATATTTAGGACAGGCACAGCTCCAGCCTGGTCACTGTAGCCTCAGTCCCAGGGAACTCCAGGGAACAAATCCACCTGCAAGGCACCTGCAGCCCCTTGGGAGTCAAAGGGAGTAAGAACAGCCCGTTCTTGGAGTGGCTGAGGGCAGAGTGTGGATTGAGAGCAAGGCCAGGAATGGTTGATGCCTTTGCACCTCCAGTCCTGGGTCCAGTTCTGGGCCCTTCACTTCCAAAAGGACATGGAGGGGCTGGAGTGTGCCCAGGGAAGGGAACAGAGCTGGGAAAGGATCTGGAGAAAATGAGGAGCAGCTGGGGGGGTTTATCTGGAGCAGAGGAGGCTCAGGGGGGACCTCATTGCTCTCTGCAACTCCCTGACAGGAGGGGGCAGGGAGGGGGGGTCGGGCTCTGCTGCCACATCCCAAGGGAAAGGAGGAGAGGAAATGACCTTGAGTTGTGCCAGGGGAGGTTTAGATTAAAGATCAGAAACAATTTCTCCCTGCAGGAGTGGTCAGGCCTTGCAAGAAGTGTCCCAGGGAGGTGGTGGAGTCCCTGTGTCTGGGAGTGTCCCAGAGGTGTCTGGATGTGGCCCTTGGGGACATGGATTAGGGATAATTTGGTGGTGGTGGGGACAGTGGGACTGGATGACCCTGCCAGGTCTCTTCCCACCTTGATGATTCTGGGATTAAAAATGGTCTGTATGACAGAGCAAAATGAACTCAATAAATTCACGCTGCCATCAAATTGGAGGGGACTCGGGAGGGCAGAGAAAACCTTGAGAAACAGGAAAATCGGGCTGGAAAAACCCACCTGCAAATTCAGCCAAGGCACCTCCCAAGTCCCTGGAGGGTGAAGCAGCTGGAGCCCCCCCCTAGGGAAGCAGCTTGGAAGGAGATGCCCTGTGGTGCTGGGGCAGTGGAAGTGCAATGTGAGTCAGCAGTGCACTCTTGTGGTGGGAGAAACCAGTGCCTACTGGGCTGTACTGGCCAGAGTCCAGGCAGCAGGGGGGGAAGGGATTCCTCCTGTCCCTGGGCACTGAGAGACCACACAGGTGCCACTTCTGGGCACTCTGCAGTGACACTGCAGGAGGGACGGGCCCAAAGCACCAGGCAGAGAAGGGGAAGCTGCGGGAAAGAGCCTTCCAAAGAGTGGGATACCTTGGAATTGCTCTCTCCTGCAGCCTGGTGAGAGCACACAGGGATGAGGGTTCTCACGAGCACAGGGGTGGGATGAGAGGCAGCAGCCACAAACTGCAACCAGGGAATTCCTGTTGAAACATCCGAGAGGAAAAGCTTTCACAGTGAGGGTAGTGAAGCCCTGGAATCTCCACTTCAGGACACCCTCAAGAAGGGCCTGAGCCCCCTGCTCTGAATGTTTGGCAGGGGGAGTAGAGAATGAGCTGGAGAATTTCCAGAGCCCCCTTTGAACCCCCAAGAAGAGATTTACCCCCAAGGAAAAATGATCTGCCAGCAGCACTTCATTTGATTTTTCCTTCCAGCACCTGACTCGTGTTTCCTAAAAGAATGAGCAAACCTGTGCAGGGCTTTGGTTGGGACGTGACAGCACTGTGAAAACTGGTTCCTGGAGGTGGCAAAGGATCTGAGGGTACAAGGAGATGTTGCAGAGAAGGGATGGCTCATTTGACAGGAATTGGATCAGGAACAGGAGAGAGCAGGGACATCCAGGAAAGAAAGGGAAAGGGGAGGCAAAGCACTTTGCCTGCACTGGACCTCTTAACCCCTCTGCAGTTGGAGCTGCCTCACTTTTGTGTTGGTCTGTGGGAGTCACACCCAGAGCCTTTCCAGTCCAGCGCTGTCAGATAAAGAACTCTGTGTTTGGAACACGAAACTCCATCTAACCCTGTGGAATTCTTTCTCCCCAGCCTGAAGCTGCGCTCCCTGCGAGTGAACGTTGGACAGCTGCTGGCCACGATGCTGCCCGACCTGGACCTGCAGCAAGTCAATTACGACATCGACGTGGTGGATGAAATTCTAGGGCAGGTGGTGGAACAAATGCATGAAATCAGTAGTACTTAATGTCTCCCTGTTTTTAGCAGAGTTTTAGTTGATCTTCCGTTCTACCCTTCCTGGAGGTTCCATCTGTATATAATGCCCGTTCCCTCGATCTCCTTGGCACGGTTTTATCTGTAAATGGATAGGCTGGGCACGTGTCGATGTTCCCACGGGTGCAGTGGGTGTTCCCTTCGCTCCCTCTTCAAGGAACGCTGTCCACAGTGGCCAGCCCTGCTGTACTGAGTTAAGGGGTTCGCTTCTGAAATGTATTTGTAATTAAATTTGCAGATGTTTTTACGATTAGGAATCTTAATACTTTTCTACCGAAGCTTTCTCGTTGACTTTGGCTCTTCCATGATCGTTAATACTTGTGATTATTTCCTCTACTCCAGTGTCAGTAGTGGGATATCTTAGAGATGCAAAAAAGAACTTCGTTGATGTCCTTCCCAGGCAGAGCTGTTGCATCCCACAGGATTGTTCCTCTGCTCCCCAGCAATGTTGGCTGATGCTTTCATGGGACAGAAGTGTAAATAGTAGGGGAAAGTGTCGCCATCTGGGTAATATTTGTGGTTTAGCACCAAAAGAGGAGCGATTCCTTCAGGGTTTTGTCATGGAAACTGGTGATGAACTGGTTGAATGGGAGCCCTTGGAAGAGGAGGGATGTTTCCTGCTCTGTGGGGTGACCTGCAGAGTGAGCCAGAGCTGAAAACACCCCAATGTCACTGGTTTGGACATCTTGGGTTATAGGTGAGATAAGGGAGTCTCTCTTTGTCACATCTCCCCTTTCAGAGTTCTGTGCTCAGAATGTTCCTGTTTTTCCATGGTCCTGGGAAAACCTCCTGGAAGAAAAGGTGCCGAGAGCAATGGCTGTGCCAGTGGGGACAGCATTCCCAGCCACTGGCAGAGCTTTCTTCCCAAGGCATGGGCAATGACCAAAGGGGTGGCAAAGACAGCAAAGGCACCTTGGACTCTGTGGTGGGATTTCTCCTCCACACAGCCCTCAAGAAAAGGGCTCTTGCTTTGAAATTTAAAAACTAAATCAAGAGAAGAGAAAAAAAAAATCAAGCATTGAATGTAGGAATTCCTGGAAAGTGTCTTTTTTCCATAAGCCAACGTTCCTGGCCCTTGCACTGCTCCTGTCCTGAGCTGCTTAGTCGATGTTCCCTGGAGTTGCAGTTCAGGGCGTTCCTTTCCAGGCACAGTTTCACTTTTAAGGTGTCTGTTCAACTCTGCCAAGAAGGGCAGTGCAGGACTGTTGTACTTCAGGAAGGAGAAAGGGAGGGTTTGGTTTGTGAAGGGGGGGCTGTAACGGAACTAGGGAGGACTTTTTTTAAAAGTGTCTGTTTTCCATTCCTCAGTGTGTAGTTTTCCATTTTGTCATCATTATTTATTCCCTTTCACCAGACTCTGGTTGAGTATCATGTAGCCAATTGGCAAAATACAGCACATGTCTTATCTTAAAAATGGAAACATTTACAATGCACATTTACACTTTGGAGAATGGTGGGCTAATGGAAATGGCTTTTATTTCCTTGTTCAAATGTATTTTTTGTAAAAAATAAAACTCTATAAATCGGAGTTTGCAGGATGAAGAGTTGTGTGTGTGATCAAAGGCGCTGGTTTTGTGTGTAAATAAATCCTGTGCAGAAAGGCTGAGGTTTCAGACTTGGAGTTTTGGGTGTTCCAGGAGCACCGGCTGAGCCTGGTGTTGAGCAGAGCCTGGGCCCAGCAGGATGGGAAAGGTCTGGGAATGCCCTGGCTCTGGCAAAAGCAGCGCTGTTCTAACCCGGGGGATGCGTGAACTGAACTGAGCTGCGTGTCAGGAAGTTCCGTGGATGTGCTGCATCCATGCCTGGGGGTAACAACCCCCTCTGGAACCCCAAAAAGGCCAGGCAGGGGTGGGGCAGAGGCACTGCTGCCGCTCCCCTGAGCCCTGGCACCCCCAAACCCTGGTGCAGGTGTCCCCACATGGGATATGGAAGATGACATGGTTTCATCTTCTTCTCTTTCTTAAAAAAAGGAAATATTTCCAGTCAAGGTCCAATGAAGCAAAAGGCCTAAAAATATTATCTATTATTATATATTAAATTTATCTAGTATATTCAATATATAACATTGAATTAAATTAATTGGAAGAAAGAGAAAGAAAAAAAAAGAGAAAAAGAAAGAAAGAGAAAAAGGGAAAGAGGGAAAGAAAGAGGGAAAGGAGAAAGAAAGAGGAAAGAAAGATAAAGGGAGGAAGAAGGTAGAAAAAGATGGTTACCAGGTGGTGATGTTGATCCAACGTCCCAACGTCCACCCACAATGATGGGATGGTTAATGGTTAATCCGTGTCCCAGTGTTGATCCCTATCCAGATGCTGGGATGTTAATCCTGGTCACAGTGTCAATCCACAATGATGGGACGGTTAATCCGTGTCCCAACGTCAATCCAAATCCAGATGCTGGGATGTTAATCCTGGTTCCAACGTCGATCCATATCCAGATGCTGGGATGTTAATCCCGGTCCCAGCGTGGATCCAGCTGGGTGGCTCTGGCCCATGGGCACTCCAGGATCCTGGGGGTTCTTTCCCCATCCTGAGGAAGCCTGAGGTCCATCCGCGGGGAGGCGGAGGAGGCAGAGGAGGCCTGGGCGGCTTCTCCTCATCCATGTCCATTGTCCTGTTCCTGTCCATCGCTGTCGTCCTTTCCAGCAAAGGGAGAGTCAGGGAGAAGGGTGTCCTAGTCAGAGCAGCCGGGAGCAGTCCATCACTGTGTGGGTGTGACCCAGATGTGTATTCTGAACCCTCCATGTCATTTCCCAGACTGTTCACACCAGACCATCTGCAGCAGCTGCCCAGAGCACACCTGACCCTCAGGCTGTAGGATGGGTGTTGGGAGGCCAGGGGGGATGAGATGTTCCTGTCCTCACACCCACAACTCCCAGTCACCCATGTGGAACGCCCCACCCTGGGGGAGGTGCTGGGGATTCCTCCCTGAACCTGAGGGTAGATAATCCCGGGGTCTTGGGACTTTTGGGCCCACTCCTGGGATCCAGAGGAGGACCAGAACCTCGACTGGACCGTGACCACCCCTCCCACCAACAGCCCCAGGAGGGCTCACGTGGGGCTCAGCACGGGGAGCCCCTGTACCATTCTGTTCGTGCCCCAGAGTTCCATCTGGTCTTTTTGTGGGTTCAAATCAATTATTCGTCAGTACAACTGTATTTTTTTTTTATTTATTTATTGAATTGCAATTCTCTTTCCGACTGGTTTGACTTCAAACCAGCACTGGCTTGACTTCAAGCCAGAAAGACGGACAGAGAGGAAGAGGGAGGGAGGGAGGGAGGGAGGGAGGGAGAGGGAGAAAGGGAGTGATGGCAAGAGTGGGAGAGATGGAGGGAGAAACGGCGAAAGAGGGAGAGATGGTGAGAGAGGGAGAGATGGAGGGAGGGAGAAACGGCGAGAGAGGGAGGGAGAGAGGGAGAGAAGGAAAGGAGTGGCTCCTGATGAACAGCTGGGATGGGCTGAGCTTTGCACCCCTTATATACCCCCGGGGCAGGGCGGGGTCTGCGATGTCACAAAGGTCTCCGGGCACCCCCGTGTCACAAAGGGCCCTGGAAGGTGCCCGTGTCACAAAGGGCCACCCCCGGCCCCCCATGGACAGCGGGACCGCCTAATTAGACCTTGTTAAAAATATTTCCTTTTTTAAGAAAGACAAAAAAGAGGAGACTGTACCATTTGTTTGGCAGCAAAAAGCGCACGAAATAGCAGCACGACTAGTGTGGGGAGGGCAATTTCCCAGTTCTAGGTATCAACACAGAGAAAAACAGTACAACTGTCTTTTTTCATCGCCCTTTGACCTCCAGGAGGCAGAAGGTTCCCACCACACGCTCTGCTGCCGGGATCTAAATTCCTCCTCGGCAACCTGGGCACGGGAATAGGGGAATTCCGCACGATATTTACACATTTACATTTGCACTGGCCGAGCACAGCAACGCCCGTAAAATAACCCCCCTCTCCTATTATTCCGGGGAGAGGCGAGCACGGGGCTGGTTTAGTTTTAGTTTTAGTTTTATCAGGATGTTTGTGAGGGGATTTTCCCGCCGGAATGCCCTGAGGGCGCCTGAGGGGGCGGGCGGGAACACCCAGAACTCCCAAGTCTGAAACCACAGCCTTTCTGCACAGGATTTGTTTACACACAAAACCAGCGCCTTTGATCACACACAGAACTCTTCATCCTGCAAACTCCGATTTATAGTTTTATTTTTTACAAAAAAAACATTTGAACAGGTAAATAAAAGCCATTCCCATTAGCCCACCATTCTCAAAAGTGTAAATGTGCATTGTAAATGTTTCCATTTTTAAGATAGACATGTGCTGTATTTTGCCAATTGGCTACATGATACTCAACCAGAGTCTGGTGAAAGGGAATAAATAATTACGACAAAATGGAAAACTACACACCGAGGAATGGAAAACAGACACTTTTAAAAAAAGTCCTCCCTAGTTCTGGTACAGACCTCCCTTCACAAACCAAACCCTCCCTTTCTCCTTCCTGAAGTACAACAGTCCTGCACTGCCCTTCTTGGCAGAGTTGAACAGACACCTTAAAAGTGACACTGTGCCTGGAAAGGAACCCCCTGAACTGCAACTCCAGGGAACATCGACTAAGCAACTCAGGACAGGAGCAGTGCAAGGGCCAGAAACATTGGCTTATGGAAAAAACACTTTCCAGGAATCCCCACCTTCAATGCTTATTTTTTTTTCTCTTCTTTTGATTTAGTTTTTATATTTCAAATCAAGACCCGTTTTCTTGAGGGCTGTGCGGGGGACAAATCCCAGTAGAGAGTCCCACCTCAGAGCCCCTTCCAGGCCTAAACCCCACCCAAAACAGCTCAACTCACCCTCACAGCCGTGTCCACCCCCGCCGACGCCAAGCGATTCATCTGCCCATCCGCCCCGTGCTGGAAGTCCAGGCTGTAAACGGGCTCCTTATTGTGCCACACGATTTCGCAGGTGATCACCTTCATGTCCGCTGCCTGAAGAAAACACCGCAAAAGCCCACCCCACTTCTTGTTCCTTAGGGCTCTGCCCAGCAAACCTCCTGCACCTTTGGCAGGCACCGCTGACCCACCCTGGAATTCCCCTGCGGCCACTGACGGGATGCTCTGAGGAAGGTCCTTCCTAGAAGTTAGGAGCGAGTACGGCCAATGCTCCTGTTTCGGGACTGCAGGACAAGAATACAAAGCCCCGTCTCCCGGCCCAGCCCCCGTGCCTGCAAAGGCACAAAGGCACAAACCCCCTCCCTGCCCCACCCCGGGGGAACAACCCACACAACGCCCGGCCACGCCGCGGGGCACAGGCAGCGCTGGCCGCTCCCCTCAGCCCTGGTGACACCCTCCCCCCAGAGGCGCTCCCCACACCCCGGGACCCCCAAATCCCGCTGTGGGATCCCCCCACACACACACAGGGCACATCCCAGCCCTTCCCCCTCACCTGCCCCGGCCCCGGCCCCGGCCCCGGCCCCAGCACAGCCCGCGCGCTCCCGCCTCGCCCACCCCGCGCTCCCCCGCGCATGCGCGCCCGCCCCGCGCGCCGCCTCAGCCGCCCCTCACGGGCTGCGCTCGCCGTGGCGGGACGGGACAAACGCAAAAAAATCCCCGTCCAAATAAAGCGAAAAGATGAAAAACACAGCGCTCGCGTCTCCTGAAAATAACGGGTTTGGTTTTTTTGGTTTTTGCCTCGCCAGTGCAAACGTCTTGTCCCGTAAAGAACTGCCCTATTCCCGGCCTCAGGCTGCCGAGGAGGAATTCAGATCCCGGCAGCGGAGCGTGTGATGGGAACCTTCTGCTACCTGGAGGTCGGGAGGCGATTGGAAAAAAAAAAAAAAAAAAAAAAAGACAGTTGTATGGTTTTTCTCCGTGTTAACACCTAGAATTGGGAAATTGCCCTCCCCACACTAGTCGTGCTGGTATTTCGTACAATTTCTGCTGCCAAGAAAATGGTACAGTCTCCACTTTTTTGTCTTTCTTAAAAAAGGAAATATTTAAAACAAGTTCTAATCAGGCAGGCGGTCCCGCTGTCCATGGGGGGCCGGGGGTGGCCCTTTGTGACACGGGCGCCTTCCAGGGCCCTTTGTGACACGGCCATGGGGGTGCCCGGAGACCTTTGTGACATCCCAGACCCCGCCCTGCCCCGGGGGTATATAAGGGGTGCAGAGCTCAGCCCATCCCAGCTGTTCATCAGGAGTGGCTCCTTCTTCTCTTCCTCCCTCCCTCTCCCTCCCTTTCCCTCTCTTTCCCTATCTCGCCGTCTCTCTCACCTTCAATCCCTCCCTCTCTCGCCGTCTCTCCCTCTCTCATCATTCCCTCCCTCTCTCTTCTCGCCGTCTCTCCCTTTCTCCCTCTCCCTCCCTCTTCCTCTCTATCCGTCTTTCTGGCTTGAAGTCAAGCCAGTGCTGGTTTGAAGTCAAACCAGTCGGAAAGAGAATTGCAATTCAATAAATAAATAAATAAAAAAAATACAGTTGTACTGATGAATAATTGATTTGAACTCACAAAAAGACCAGATGGAACCCTGGGGCATGAACAGAATGGTACAGGGGCTCCCCATGCTGAGCCCCACGTGAGCCCTCCTGGGGCTGTTGGTGGGAGGGGTGGTCACGGTCCAGTCGAGGTTCTGGTCCTCCTCTGGATCCCAGGAGTGGTCCCAGAAGTCCCAAGACCCCGGGATTATCTACCCTCAGGTTCAGGGAGGAATCCCCAGCACCTCCCCCAGGGCGGGGCGTTCCACATGGGTGATTGGGAGTTGTGGGTGTGAGGACAGGAACATCTCATCCCCCCTGGCCTCCCAACACCCATCCTACAGCCTGAGGGTCAGGTGTGCTCTGGGCAGCTGCTGCAGATGGTCTGGTGTGAACAGTCTGGGAAATGACATGGAGGGTTCAGAATACACATCTGGGTCACACCCACACAGTGATGGACTGCTCCCAGCTGCTCTAACTAGGACACCCTCTCTCCCTGACTCTCCCTTTCCAGGGACAGTTTCAGGACAATGGACATGGATGAGGAGGAGCCGCCCAGGCCTCCTCTGCCTCCTCCGCCTCCCCGCGGATGGACCTCAGGCTTCCTCAGGATGGGGAAAGAACCCCCAGGATCCTGGACTGCCCATGGGCCAGAGCCACCCAGCTGGATCCACGCTGGGACCGGGATTAACATCCCAGCATCTGGATATGGATCGACGTTGGGACATGGATTAACATCCCAGCATCTGGATATGGATTGACATTGGAACCAGGATTAACATCCCAGCATCTGGATATGGATCGTTGTTGAGACACGCATTAACCATCCTATCATTGTGGATTGACACTGGAACCAGGATCCCTATCCCATCATCTGGATAGGGATCAACACTGGGACATGGATTAACCATCCCATCACTCTGGATGGACGTTGGGACCAAGATTAACATCCCATCAGCTGGATCAACACCACCACCCAGTAACCATCTTTTTCTACCTCCTTCCTCCCTGTCTTTCTTTCTTTTTTTAGTTTTTCTTTCTTTTTCTCTCTTTCTCTTTTTTTTTTTTCTCTTTCTATCATTTGCTCGTCAGCGAGAAGCACATGAAATAGCAGCACCAGTAGCTTGCGGGAGGGCAATTTCCTAGTTCTAGGTATCAACACGGAGAAAAACCATACAACCGTCTTTTTTTTTTTTTTTTTTTTTTTTTAATCGCCTCTCGACCTCTAGGAAGCAGAAGGTTCCCATCGCACGCTCCGCTGCGGGGATCTGAATTCCTCCTCGGCAGCCTGAGGCCGGGCACAGGGGAATTCTTTACGAGACAAGACGTTTGCACTGGCGAGGCAAAAACCAAAAAAACAAACAAACTGTTATTTTCAGGAGACGCGAGCGCTGTGTTTTTCATCTTTTCGCTTTATTTGGACGGGTTTTTTTTTTGCGTTTGTCCCGTCCCGCCACGGCGAGCGCAGCCCGTGAGGGGCGGCTGAGGCGGCGCGCGGGGCGGGCGCGCATGCGCGGGGGGGAGCGCGGGGCGGGCGAGGCGGGAGCGCGCGGGCTGTGCCGGGGCCGGGGCCGGGGCAGGTGAGGGGGAAGGGCTGGGATGTGCTGGGATGTGCCCCGTGTGTGGGGGATCCCACAGCGGGATTTGGGGGTCCCGGGGTGTGGGGAGCGCCGCTGGGAGAGTCCCGGGGCTGAGGGGAGCGGCCAGCGCCGCCTGTGCCCCGCGGCGTGGCCGGGCGTTGTGTGGGTTGTTCCCCCGGGGTGGGGCAGGGAGGGGGTTTGTGCCTTTGTGCCTTTCGAGGCACGGGGGCTGGGCCGGGAGACGGGGCTTTGTGTTCTTGTCCTGCAGTCCCGAAACAGGAGCATTGGACGTACTCGGTCCTAACTTTTAGGAAGGGCCTTCGTGGAATCGTAGAATTAACTGGGTTGGAAGAGACCTCCGAGGTCATCAAGTCCAACCCTTGATCCAACCCCAGTGTGGTTACCAGATCGTGGCACTCAGTGCCACATCCAGCCTCATCCTAAAAACCTCCAGGGACGGTGAATCCACCACCTCTCTGGGCAGGCCATCCCAATGCCTGATCACTTTCTATAAAGAACTTTTTTTCTAATATCTGACCCAAACCTCTCCTGGCAGAGCTTAAGCCCTCTTGTCCTAAGAGCATCCCGTCAGTGGCCGCAGGGGAATTCCAGGGTGGGTCAGCGGTGCCTGCCAAAGGTGCAGGAGGTTTGCTGGGCAGAGCCCTAAGGAACAAGAAGTGGGGTGGGCTTTTGCGGTGTTTTCTTCAGGCAGCGGACATGAAGGTGATCACCTGCGAAATCGTGTGGCACAATAAGGAGCCCGTTTACAGCCTGGACTTCCAGCACGGGGCGGATGGGCAGATGAATCGCTTGGCGTCGGCAGGGGTGGACACGGCTGTGAGGGTGAGTTGAGCTGTTTTGGGTGGGGTTTAGGCCCTGGAAGGGGCTCTGAGGTCTCCCTGGAGCCCTGGCTCAGGTTGCCCAGAGAAGCTGTGGCTGCCCTTGGATCCCTGGAGTGTCCAAGGCCAGGTTGGATAAACTTGGAGCAACCTGGGCTGGTGGAAGGTGTCGCTGCCCATGGCAGGGCTGGGGCTGGATGATCTTTAAGGTCCCTTCCAACCCAAACCATTCTATGATTCTACTTAGGGAAACCAATTTAATTTATTGCCAGTTGATAACAGAGTAGGACAGTGAGAAATAAGAAGAAAACTAAAAACACCTTCCCACCCCCTCCCTTCCTTCCAGGCTCAGCTTCATCCCTGGCTTTTCCATCTCCTCCCTCCTCACACCTTCTCCTGCTCCAGGGTGGGGTCCATGGCTGCAGGGGCACAGCTGCCTCACCATGGGCTGATTGAAGTGGGGATTGCAGAAGTGGTTGAAGCTGCACCTCGAGTCCTGTGCTCTGTCCTGGGCCTTTCACTTCCAAAAGGACATGGAGGGGATGGAGCGTGTCCAGAGAAGGGAATGGAGCTGGGGAAGGGTGTGGAGAACACGTGAAGGGTGTTGGAGAACATGTCCTGTGAGGAGCAGCTGAGGGAGCTGGGGGGGTTTATCTGGAGCAGAGGAGGCTCAGGGGGACCTCATTGCTCTCTGCAACTCCCTGACAGGAGGGGGCAGGGAGGGGGAGTCGGGCTCTGCTGCCACATCCCAAGGGAAAGGAGGAGAGGAAATGGCCTCAAAGTGCCCCAGGGCAGGGTCAGTGCAGAGATCAGAAACAATTTCTCCCTGCAGGAGTGGTCAGGCCTTGCAAGGAGTGACCCAGGGAGGTGGTGGAGTCCCTGTGTCTGGGAGTGTCCCAGAGGTGTCTGGATGTGGCCCTTGGGGACGTGGATTAGGGGTGACTGTGGTGGTGCTGGGTGAGGGTCCTTCAAAACTTCTGTAACTCTTTTGTCACCAGATCTGGAAAGTGGAGAAAGGTCCTGATGGCAAAGCCATCGTGGAATTCCTGTCCAACCTGGCCCGTCACACCAAGGCCGTGAACGTCGTGCGCTTCTCTCCGAGCGGCGAGGTCCTGGCGTCCGGGGGAGATGGTGAGGGCTGCTCCTCCTGGGGATAATGCTGATGCTGGGCTGCATGTGAAATGCATGAACAAAACAGGGAGAGTGGGAAAGAGAGGAGCTTCATCTGGTTTCTCCTACAGATGCCGTTATTTTGCTGTGGAAGCTGAATGACAGCAAGGAATTGGAGCCGCTGGTTTTTCAGGACGAAGATGAAGCTCAGCTCAACAAGGAGAACTGGGCAGTTGTTAAAACCTTAAGGTAGCTGTGGTTTCATGAGCTTGCTTTTCTCTCCAGAGTTTTTGGGTCCCCAGTGGCTTTTGTTGTGTGGTACAGTCTTCAGTGTTCAGTGCTCTCCAACATTTGCTTGCTCTAATAATTAATCCTTTGAAACCCCTCTTGAGAGGGCACAGAAAAAGGATGGAGGGGGATGTTTTGTACATGTAGAGAGTGACAGAACAAAGGGGAATGGGCTAAAACTGCCAGAGGGCAGGGTTAGATGGGATATTGGGAAGGAATCCAGGAGGCCCTGGCACAGGTTGCCCAGAGAAGCTGTGGCTGCTCCTGGATCCCTGGAAGTGTCCAAGGCCAGATTGGATAAACTTGGAGCAACCTGGGCTAGTGGAATGTGTCCCTGCCCATGGCAGGGGGATTGGAACTGGATCTTCCTTAATGTCCCTTCCAACCCAAACCCTTCTTTGATTCTGTGATTTTATTGTATTTAACTTTTTTTTCTCTCCAGTGCCAACCTACACCTCCAGTCAATCACTAAGTCATAACTCACACTCTCTGAAATTGGTTCCTGAGATTTGCAGTCCCTTAGAGCTCAGCACAGGAATACACAAAAGAACTGTGAAGTTTTATTTGCTGGCTTTGTAGTAGAAATTTGGATCATTGTTAAGGCCAAGAGCATCAGCAGATAAACTGATTGATGCAGTCACAGCTGTTGTTTCAGGTGTACCTCAGTTAATAAAATATACACAGTACATGCTAAAGCTCAGTAAGTTTAGTTGGTAGTGGCCAAGACATCAAACCACCACTGGCAGTTGAAGTACAGCTGTTCTCACAAAATAAAAAAAAATAAAAAACGAGTGACTCAGCTCCCCAGAACTGAAACATTCCTGCCAGCTGCTGAGGTTGGTGTGAGAACAGCTCCAGAAGCCCTGGTGGGATTGCTTGAAGTACCAGCAGGATCCTTTAGGAACATTCATCTCTTAAAGCAAAGAAACAACTCAAATTTTCAAATATTTAAAGTCACCACACCGTGTGATAAGTCTTCAAACAACAAGCAATAAAAATTGGTTTTGGTGGAGCCCTTCAGCTGGTTCCAAAATGCCCCACCACCTTCTGAACATGGAAGGGACTTTTTAACAGCTGAAAAACATGTTGTTTGTTTTATTTCAGTGATACTTTATTTGCCTCTTGATTTTTTTAATTTGTTTTTTTTTTAACCTAAAAACGCATAAAACTCTTGTTAACCCGTAGCTGTTAATTATCAAATTAATAATTGCTTTCTTTTCTTCTGGCTTCCAGAGGCCACTTAGAAGATGTGTATGATATTTGTTGGACCTCAGATGGTAATTACATGGCCTCTGCTTCTGTGGACAACACAGCTATCATGTGGGATGTCAATAAAGGTAAATGCCACCTTTATTTATTTACCCCTTGCATCTCCAGAGCTGGTGGAAGTGCCTCGTGGGATTTACCAGAAAATGGGAAGCATCTTTTTTCGTGTTTGGGGGTTTTTTTTTGGTGATTTGGGTTTTACAACACGTTTGAGCTTTGGATCTGAAAGCTGTTTGTATTTCCAGGCCAGAAGGTTTCAATATTTAATGAGCACAAGAGTTATGTCCAAGGAGTAACCTGGGATCCTCTAGGCCAGTACATTGCAACCCTGAGCTGTGACAGGTGAGCTGATGGACTGTGTTTTATTCATTAACATTAATTAATATGAATATTTTATTATTTATAGTCTTTCTTGCCGGAGGATGAATCAAAAGGAAATGCACCAGATAAATGTGGCTTTTTTAGCTTTATTCAGATTGTTCTGTAAGCAGGTTGATGTGAAAGTGAAATGATACAAGATGATCAGAGGGATGGAGCTCCTGTCCTGTGAGGAAGGCTGGGAGAGCTGGGATTGTTCAGCTGGACAAGAGAAGCTTTGGGGTGACCTGAGTGTGGCCTTGCAGGGCCTGAAGGAGCTCCAGGAAAGATGGAGAGAGACTATTTCCAAGGGATGGGGGGACAGGACAAGGGGAATGGGTTCACATTGATGGAGAGTGGGGTTAGGTGGGATATTGGGGAGAAATTCTTCCCTGTGAGGGTGGGGAGGGGCTGGGATAGAATTCCCAGAGAAGCTGTGGCTGCCCCTGGATCCCTGGAAGTGTCCAAGGCCAGGTTGGACGGGGCTTGGAGCACCCTGTGCTGGTGGAAGGTGTCCCTGCCCATGGTAGGGGTGGCACTGGATGGGTTTGATGTCCCTGTAGCCCAAGCAGGGAGTGTCTCTGTGCTCCTGTGCAGGGTCCTGCGGGTGTACAGCACACAGACCAAGAGGGTGGCCTTCAACGTCACCAAGATGCCATCTGGATCGGGAGCTGAAGGAGAGGTGCGTTGTTCTGCTGCTGATGGCACTGGAGAATGTGCTGGGGGATATTTTACATGAGTTTCCTCTTCCATTCCCTGGGATCCATATAACTAACACAGGATCATCAAGCTTGGAAGTGACCTTCAAGATCGCCCAGCATCTCCAGAATCACCCCCTAATCCATACCCCCAAAACTTCTTGCAAGCAAAACAGTCACACGATGCCTTTGGTTGTAAATATTTATAATGCTTTGGAAAAATACTATGTCTGGTGAACTTTTAACAGGAAAAACTTCAAGCATGTCTACCAGTAGCTGTAAGTTTATTCATGGATATGACATAGCAATAATGTTTTAAAGTTAGCAGCCTGAAGTTTTCCAGAAGGTAGTCTGATTTTTAAGAAAAACATGAGTTAGGGAAAATTCAGGAAACTCTCTTTAACCCTGAGAGAGAAAACAAAGAGCTTTTTTTCACCAAAACAGTTCTAAGTGATAATAAAATAACACCTCCAAGCTGGCCATAACCTTCTTAATTCCTTCTATTCATTCCTTTTCTTTAATTTTTTTTTGGGGGAAAGCATTTGCTAGAGTTTTATAGGGACTAAATCCCAGGCCTGAGAGCAGACAGTCTGCCATTAGAGAAGTTCTCTTTCAACCTCTAATACTGGAGTTAAATTTAAGTACCTGAGGAACAGGCCCTTACACTGCCTGTTAAATAATCTTGTTCTCCGGGTTGTGACTATTTCTGGATTACTGCTCTGCTCTGGGAGTGTTTTGTTCAGCAGCTGAAGGAGGGATCAAGGCCTGTTTTTTCTTAGCTGTGAAGAATTTACAGCAGGGCAGAAAGTGAGTTTGGAGGAGCTGTGGTTTCTCCAAACACTTTTCTTTTTAAAAAAAGTTCCCCTAGGTCGAGTTGTGCAACTGGATGTTTCCTCTCCCTGGAATTCCAGCTTGTGCCAATCCTGTTTTCCTCCTGTTGCAGGCCCGGAGCTACCGGATGTTCCACGACGACAGCATGAAGTCCTTCTTCCGCCGGCTCAGCTTCACCCCCGATGGCTCCTACCTGCTCACCCCAGGTGTGGCAACGTGGGCTGGGACTGAGGTTGGAAAACAGCTCCAGGTTGGAAAAGAGCTCCAGGATCATCCAGTCCCCCCTGTGCCCCATCCCCACCTTGTCCCCAGCCCAGAGCACTGAGTGCCACGGCCAGGCCTGCCTTGGACACCTCCAGGGCTGGGCACTCCAAACCTTCCTGGGCAGCCCCTGCCAAGGCCTGACCACCCTTGCCAGCAACAAATTCCTCCTCCTGGCCAACCTGAGCCTCCCCTGGCACAGCTGGAGGCCGTTCCCTCTCCTCCTGTCCCTGTTCCCTGGGAGCAGAGCCCGACCCCCCCCGGCTCCCCCCTCCTGGCAGGGATTGCAGAGCCAGAAGGTCCCCCCTGAGCCTCCTTTTCTCCAGGCTGAGCCCCCCCAGCTCCCTCTCTAATCTGTTCTAGTCTGAATGTGCCTCAGTGTTGCTTTCCAACTGCTCAGGGATGCTGATTTATCCTAACAATGCCATTCCTCATTCTCCCTGCTGAAGGAAACAGAGACTCCACAATAGTTTTCCTTTAGCACTCTGTAACATCAACTTCCTCCTGTGATAAAAATGAGATTTATAACAGTTTTCTGAACTGAAAAACATAAATTGCAACACCAGAACTCTTGTTAAAAGAGAAACAAAGGATAATGAGTGGGGTTTTTTTAACTGATCCCTCTTTGTTTGTGTCCTTTCTTAAGAACATTCTGCAGCCAGAGTCAAAACAGCACAGCAAGGAGGGGATCAGTGTACAAGCACTGCTTTTATAGGTGTCTGGCAGCACCAAAAAGAAGCTTTGAGGGGGGAAGCATATAAAGGAAACAAAACCAGCCTAATTCCTGAGAGGCTGAATGTTTATGGACATCAAGTGTGTGCCCTCAGGTCCTTCCTGAGGTGATGAGTAACGTTGTAACCTCTTATTTTGGCAGCTGGCTGCGTGGAGTCGGGAGAAAACGTTACCAACACCACCTACGTGTTCTCCAGAAACAACCTGAAAAGGTAGAGCTTACCAAGATTAAAAACGTGTGTTTTTTTTTTGTTTTGTTTAATTATTTATTTAAAAACTGACCAACTGAAGCAGTGGAGCTGTGTTTGCTGACCCCCTGATTCTCTCTGGAAGGCCTGTGGGTCACCTGCCGTGCCCTGGGAAGGGAACTCTGGCTGTTCGCTGCTGCCCGGTCTACTTCGAGTTGAGAGGAGCACTTCAGGAAGGTAACTGTGAGTCCTTCAGGGGAGCAGCAATTTACAGCAAATGTGGGAAAAGGCCAGCCTGGCTGGTTGCTGTTTTATGCCCCAGCCTTTGAACATTTCATTAAGACACTGTAGTACCACGTTTTAGAAGCTGTTTCCTGGTTCTGAGACCCTCAGTTCACCTTAAGTACCTTGTGAGTGGCTTTTTGATAGGGTGGATAAACGTTGTTACTTGGCCTCTCAAGCTGCAGAAACGCTGTTGAATGTTTTTCTTGAGCTCTTAACCACTTGGTGTTGAAAATAAGTAACTTGGTTTAGCACTAAAGGAGTGATCCAGTGCAATATTTTCCCTTAGTCTCAACTACCCACATCAGAGAAGCACCAGAGAGTTGGGGCAGTTTGCAACAACTCCTTGATGTTTGTTCGAGGGAGCCAAACCTGAAGCAGTGCTGGTGTTAACTGGCCAGAACAGGAATTCTGAGGTGGGGAAAGGGTTGTATGAAGTGGCACAAGAACTTACCTGAGGATTGAAGTTCAGCCTTATTGTGAGCCCAGCGGGCCCCAGGAGTGGTTTTATATTTTAACAAGACCTGTGTTACTCTGGTGAAAAGGCAGAGCTTTGCTCCACTCTTTAGAGGGTCAATTTGGAGTGTTCCTCAGAGGATTTAAAGATTACCTGTTGTATTTTCATCGTGATCTTTAGACCCCTTGTAATGGTGTGTTGCAGAGGAAGGAGATGAGTGTCTGCAGTTGGTCTCTCTCCTCTAAAGGGAGACTGTAACACTAAAGTTCATAGAAATATACTGATAAATTTCAGCTGGAAAATAGAGGACAAACTTTACAAATTAACAGCAATCCAGAGGGGGAAAAAAGCTTCTACCAACTTCTCTTCAAATAAGACAATAGGGCACAAACTTCAGGCAGCAGAGGTGTTGTACTTGGCATTAAATTACACATTTTATACAAGTGCTGTCTTCTCAGTGCTCATCTAATCAATAATGTCATCTTTATTGTATCTGCAGTCGCTACCTTGCAATAAATGCAGGAGAGAATCCTCAGTGTGTTCCTCTCTTTGCTCTGCAGATGAGATGAGTCAGAAACCGTGCCCTGCTCTGTTTAACCTGCCCTATCGGTTGGTGTTTGCTGTGGCCTCCGAAGACTCGGTGCTTTTTTATGACACTGAGCAGTCCTTCCCCTTTGGTTATGTCTCTAACATCCATTATCACACCCTGAGTGACATTTCCTGGTGAGTAATTGTTGTATTCCTTGTGCTTGTTGGGGTAGGGAAATTCCCTTTTTACGTGTCCGGGTTCTGGGTGGCATCTTCTGGGTTTATATTTAATTTATGGCATCTGTGTGGTCACTGTCATCAGTGTCTGAACAACAACTCCACCTCTTTTTTACCCTGTAAACTGGAGAATTGTGGTTCTTAATTAAATGGGAAACAAGGTGCACGTTCCCTGTGAAAATTAACATTCCAGATGCCCATGAGAAGTCCTCATTGTATGACTGGGAATAACGAAGTTGTTTGGAGGTTTTGGAAGCCACCTGAGTTCAGGTTTCTGTATTCTGGTCAAAATCTGCACAACCCTTCTTAGTGATTCTCCACATGTGGGACAAAGTAATTTGTTTGACTCCCCACTTTTAATTTAACTGTGGGAAATCAGGACTGGAGCTGCAAACTGAACCCAGTCAGAACATCCTGCTCTGTAGTTCAGGGGCTTAAATATAAACATGGATTTGGGGGAGGGAGGGTGAAAAGACAGGGACAACGTGAGGGTTGAAAAAAAACTTCAAGCCTTGAATTTTACTGGAAAAAAACCAACAAATCCCAACCAGGTCCAGCGACGGGTCCTTCCTGGCTATTTCCTCCACGGACGGATACTGTTCCTTCGTCACCTTCGAGAAGGACGAGCTGGGGATTCCACTGAAGGAGAAGCCCCAGATCAGCCTCAGGACTCCTGGTGCAACAGAGAAGAAGGTGAAGAAGAACCAGTGCCCCAAATCCACCTCCCCAGGCTCCAGGCTGGCCGAGGGGACTCCCCCCGCAGGACCGGCGATCCCAGCCCTCCCTCCCTGCCGCTCGGAACACCCAGCACTGCCAGCAAGGACTCACCTTCCACCCCTGTTGGCATCAAAAGCGTTCCAGCCTCGTCCTGGGAGGAGAGGAAAAGCAGCCAGGCAGCCCCCCAGAGCAGCAAGGCCAAGCAGCCCCGGAGGGTCGCCCTCCACACGTTACAGGCCTGTTTCAAGACACCGAGGTGAGATTTACGTGGCCCTTTCGAGGCCAAGACGAGCTGGGCTTGTGCTGCCTTCAAAGGTTGGGGGGTTTTAGACAGGAATTCCCAGCCCTGGGGTCTTGGTGGGAGCTGTCTTGACATGGAACTTTTTTTTGTTCTGGCTGGAGGTCAGAATGTCTCCTGAACCTTAAATGTGCAGCTTCCTGAGATGGGAGGCAGGAGCAGAGTTCACCTGGTGGCTGTGCCGTGGCCACAGGGCAGCACTTGGGGTCTGTCTTGGGCCAGGAGTTGGACTTGGATGATCCTTGTGGGTCCCTTGCAACTTGAAAAATCCTGTGATTCTGCCTCCAGGTCCCACTGTCTGTACAAAAATGGTACCTGAAGCCATCAGCTGGCAAGACCCTTCAGATATTGGCATTTAAATATTAGGTGTTTAAATATTAGATATTAGAAAGAAATTGTTGGCTGGGAGGGTGGGCAGGCCCTGGCACAGGTTGCCCAGAGAAGCTGTGGCTGCCCCTGGATCCCTGGAAGTGTCCAAGGCCGGGTTGGATGGGGCTTGGAGCAACCTGGGATCGTGGAAGGTGTCCCTACCTGTGGCAGAGGGTGGGAATGGGATGTTGCTCCATTCAACATATAACAAGAATTAAAAATGTGCAGTAAAATATATCTGAACTACCTTTACACTCACCTGATTCTATGTGAATTAAATCTTTAAATAAAATATTTGTGGAAATGATGTCCATAAAGCAATTGAACTATTTCTGCCTCTTTTAAAGGAGAATAAACTTGATTTCACTGAAGCCAGATACACCCACCCCTGCAGATCCAGACACAGCCTCTGGGCCTCCTTCCTCAGAGCAGGAACATGGTAAGCTTTTGTGGCTCTCAACATCCAGACAAGTCTTTCACCAATCAGTTTCTTCCATCGTGGATTTATGTTATAAAAAAAAAACCCAAACCTGGTTGCAAATTCTGAAGCTTCTTCATTGCCTTCATGTGTTTGAAAGGTGCTTTTGACAAACATGAAATCAGGTGGCTCTTGGGCAGCTGCTGATGTGACTCCATGTCACTAGAGGTTTTATAATAGTGAAATCAAGAATAAATTCAGCTGGATTTGATGTTCTCCAGGTCCTACATGAGGGTTTTAAAGGCCCTTATCCTTCCAGCACATCATTGTTTCACGTGCTGGACTCTCAAACACGGGTGGTTGGGTTATTTTTAGTGAGTGTTGAATTGTTTGTGAATTCAGCAAACCAATTTGCTTCATTAATCTGAATTCTCTTACCTTAAATGATTTCCCTGCCTGCTTCTTTCAGAGAGGCCACTGCCATCTGATGACAGCCTTCAAAATACCCCGGCTCCAAAACGCCCCAGGACTGAGGAAACGTCTCCTCCTGCACCTGAAGATCAACCCACCTGTGATTCAAACAAATAAGGGCTGAGCTTATCTGAACAAACAAGCTTTTAGCAGACTCTTCACAGTCTGCAGTCAGTGCTGCCGTGCCTGAGTGCCTTTCTTTTTGCAGATGTTAAATCCTCAATTCCCCACCAAGGTTCCCTGTGCAGATTTGCTGTAGCACCGTGAAGAAACTGCCGAGTGGAAGACACAGCTCTCAGGAATGTAGTTTTGCAGGAGGAGAAACAGTTGGGAGGTGACTTCAAGAAGTGCCCCAGCCTAAGGAAATCAGGGAAATCTGGGTATTAAAAAACCATCCCAGTAACCTGCAAATCTCCATCAGAGTCCCTGAATTGGTGTTTACAAAGCACGATGTCTTCCAGTAACCTGTGTGGCACAGGAAGAATGGAATGTATTCATCAGATCTGATGTGGTTTAAGAGCTTAAAAAAAAAGAGAGGAAATTGTGTCATTCCAGCATCTTTGATTATTTGTTGAGCAGAGTGTAAAATAATTTTCCTCAGTACCTGTGGGCTGGGAGCTGATGGTCAGGTACAACACAGATCAGGGTCGAGATGATTTCAACAGAAAAGGAAAGTTTTAACTGCAAGAAACAAGAAAACAAAAGGAATAAACCCTCTGGAGACCTGGTTTTAGAATTAAAGAGCAGAAGAAAGATCTTCATTGTTCAGTTTCTGTGTTTAAAAAAAAAGAAATGCAGGCAGGAGATTTTCCTGAGGCAGCAGAGTTGGAGTGTGGACGTTAAAAATACCCCCTTTTTCCTTTTTCAAAACTTACCTCCCTTAGCCAATAAAATACACCCCAATGTATGTGTGTAATCATATTAAACCTCTTTGACTTGTAACATTTCCCTGGGTTTGGTTGTGTAATGAATTAGGGTTTGTTTTCTGTCATCTTCTGAGGAAGTGGACTGATATTTAGAAAAGCAGAAATAGTTTCACAGGGAGGAAACATTAACAGATACCCGTGTCAGTGTTTCAGATAAATGAAGAGGTCAGGGGAGAACTAGAGAAGATCATCTCCAGTGCAACAAACTCTCAGTCAGTGACAGATCTTCTCCTTGATTGAGTTACTGCTCATTAAAATCACGAGGATCTTTTGCTCTTCAACATGTGCACATCCCACCTTAAAATCCGAATATTTCTGTGAGCCACTGGAATGACAAGGCCTTGTTTCACGTGGATTTACAGGTAACTGCACTGGGGGTTTCATGTAAACTTTGCAACTTTTTAGATGGGTTTCAGATGGATTTTGTAGATGAGTAAGGACTCATGACTTGTCTTGCTCCTGGAAAGACTTCCTGCTGTAATAATGGTTAGTTTTTAGACAGCCAGTCGTGGTGCTACTGATGTTAAATTTTTCTGTTATCTCCAGCTCCCTGTATTTATATATCTTGTAATTATTTAACCACTTTGCCTTTCGGTCAAAATTTGTTTGATACTTGCCTGTGGATTCAAAACAGACTCTGTATTTTATATAAACACAGGGAGTGTGCATACAAAGGTTGTTATCAAACAAACAGCATCAAATAAAAGCTTGTTGTCGAGGAGAACAAGGCTTTTCAAATAACTACAGTGTGTTTTCTCTGCTCTGGCAGTGCCAGGATCATGAAGAGGAGGAAGACATCAGGATTTGTTAGATGAAACCTCTGCTTTTCACCCCATTCCTTCCTTCCTGCCACTGCAAACATTTCTTCTGCTGCAGTCAAGTCCATCATCAAGTCCAACTGTCAGCTTAAGGTTCACCATTAAACCTCAATTCCACATCCACACATTTTATGAACCTTTTCAGTGCCTGACCACCCTTTCCAGGAGGAAATTCGTCCTCATGTCCATCCTGACCCTTCTCTGGCACAGCCTGAGGCCGTTCCCTCTTGTCCTGCCCCTCATTCCTTGGAAGCAGAGCTTGATTCCCCCCTGGCTCCCTCTTCCTATCAGGAGTCACTCCTTGCTTGTTAAAAAGGAGGAATGTGTAGGTGGAAATGGAGGTGTCAGAGAGGAAAAGTGACAGGTGTGGATTAATTGGAGCTGGGAGAAGGAGAAGGAAGTGGCATTTGGGGAAAGGGAGTGGGTGGGAAGCTGAGAGTTCCTGGTTGTGGGGAGGGAGTTTGGCACCGTTGGGATTTCTGATCACCAGTGATGATCCTTCTTACCCAGGAGCACCTGCCTGTCCAGGTTGGGTTTTACCGGGGTTTATTTTTCACTTCTGGGATGGGAAGGGCTCTTTTCTTGCCACAAAACTTGAGTTTTGCCCTTTCCTGCCAGCAGGTGACAGTGTTACCCAAAGCAAGGCAAACGAAGCAGAAACCTCTACTCCAAACTTACATGGACATTTCTCCTTTATTTCTTTTTTTTTTCTATAAAAAGTTATTATTTTGGGCTTCTTTCCACCTGGTGAAGAAAAAGAGTTGTGAATAGACTTTTACAAAGGGCCTGGAGTGACAGGACAAGGGGCAATGGATTCAAATTGAATGATGGGTTTAGATTAGATATTGGGAAGGAATTCTTCCCTGTGAGGCTGGGGAGGGCTTGGGATGGAATTCCCAGAGAAGCTGTGGCTGCCCCTGGATCCCTGGAAGTGTCCAAGGCCAGGTTGGACGGGGCTTGGAGCAACCTGGGCTGGTGGAAGGTGGGTTGGCACTGGATGATCCTTAAGGTCCCTTCCAACCCAAACCGTTCGTGACTCTCCAGGTATTTTTTGTCTGCTCGTTCCAGACACACCTGCCTGGGAGAGATCTCCCAGCCCTTACTTGGCAGCAAGAAACAACCCTGAAGCAAAAATCCCCCACATTTGGTGCCCCAGAGCCACACCCAGCAGCTCTGCTCTTCCTCAGGTGTGGCATTTTGGGCACTCTGCCCTTTCCTTGATGCCATTTCCGTGGGTGCCAAGGCTGCCCTGCCCTGGCTGCTTGGATTTTCCTGCTCTCCATCTCCCACTTCCAGCCAGGAGAAGGTCTTTCATGTGCTCTGATAAATCTCTTTGTGACCTGTGGAGCCTCCCTGGTGTCCTGTCCCTGCTGCCAGGGCTGCAGGTGCTCCAACACCAAGCAGGAATGTGCAAACTTGGGAGCGCTTCAGCTTTCCCTTTCCCTGCCTGCCAACGAGCCCCAGCACATGCCAGGCTTTTCCTGGAGCCTGGAAAGCCACTGGCAAGCCAAGTGATATCGCTGAGAATCCCGCTGCTCCTTCCCTCAGCTGCAAATCCCACAAAGCCACGGCCCCGAGGCCTCTTGGCCTGCAACCCGAGAGGGTTTTTGCCTCTTAGGGCATGAAGAATTAAAAAAGGTTCACAGATTTCTCTCTGTCTGGAAACTGGTCATGAATTGGGGCTCTTCCAGGGACTGAAAACCTGATCCTGGTGCTCTTGAAAAGGAGAAGAACCTGTTTGTGTCTTTTAACTCATTGCCATCTTTCCTGCGAGGGCTGGTCGGGATTTAGCTCCCCAAAATCGTTGTGTTTGGGGTTTCTTCATGCTCCAATTATTATCCTGTGATCCAGTTATTTAAATCTGCTCTTATTTTCAGTCTGTGCATCGAGTCCACCTAGACATCCACACACACTGTTGCCTGTGTGGTGTCTTTTGCATTTTCCATTTAAAATGCTCTCCTTGCCATGAGTTGAACCAGAAAAGCTTCATTTTGGCGGCTGTTATTTCCCAGATATCCCTGTGGATTCTCCCCCCTCCCCTTGGTGTGAATCATAAGCACAGTGATGATAAATTGGGCTGATAAACAATGCCAGGTTTTGCCTCGGTATAAACTTCCCCCACTTAGCCAGGAAAAAGTAAACAAATAAGCTGGGCAGGCACCTCTGTTTTGATTTCAGCCCAGCTGAAATAAGGAATTCTGAAGTGTTTGTTTGCTGAGGGAAATGGAAACAGGCCAGGTTGGAATGGGAATGGCTGTGGCTATCTGTGGGATCTCGGCCTGTCTGATTGAACCTGTTTATAAAGTGGTATTTTGAGCTGCAGGAACCCGTGGGTGTTTCTGCTTTCCCTTTTCCTGGCACCAGTGGGGTGGCACCAGCTGGATGTGCTTCCAAATCAAGGGCAGGGCAGGAAAGAAGGTGTGGATTTACTCTGCAAGGAGAAGAGGTGTTGGCTGGGTGCTCCAGGATTCCGAATTCTGCCTCCCTAAAAACCTGCCTGTTTCCAAGGAGTTGGGAAGCAATTTTCCCAGAATGGTTTGGGTCAGGAGGGACCTCAAAGATCCTCTCATTCCAACCCATGCCATGGGCAGGGACACCTTCCCACCAGCCCAGGTTGCTCCAACCTGGCCTGGGACGCTTCCAGGGATCCTTTCCTTGGATGTTCTTTGTCAGGATGGAAGAGCTTGGTGTGATGCTGCAGAGAAGGGCTTGGAGTGGAGAGAGAGAAAAAACATAATCACATTACAGAAAATCCCAAATTATTATAGCAGTCATAAGATTGATTAAGTCAGGGCTTGGAACGTTAAAATTTAACTTAAAAGCCATTTCAAACCTGAAGGGCGTTAAACTGAGTCCTTGTCCTTTTGTAATTCCTTCTTTCTTTCTGCACTAAGAGGTGACTTTTACTTCTCAATTTACAGTTTCTGCTTGGATAACTCAAGATTAATTATAGGTCAGTTTTAAATCTGCCCTGTAAATCCATGAGAATGAGAATCACAGTGGAAGGGGTGACACAACCTTATTTACTGTGCACACATTCTTGCTGTATAAATAATTACTGTAACAAAGGGCTGATTATGTTCTGTAGTGGTAACAACTTTAATTGCTGTCTCTTCATTTTTAACAGCAGAATCCAGGTGCAATCTGCTTCCTGCTGATTAACAAATTCAGGATCACGCCCTCAGCCTTTGCTGAAAGCAGCCACAGGATGGCAACATTGCTAATCTTTTAACTTCTTTTAACCAGCTTGCCAGGCCTGCTTTTTAGCTCAGAACAAGGCATGGAATTCTGTTGGAACACTGAAACTCTCTGGGTTTTAGAGGGAATCTTCCTTTCAGGGTTTGACTTGGAGAGGGGCTGCTCACAAGGGCCTGGAGTGCCAGGACGGGGTGGGGGAATGGGTTCAAAGTGACAAAAAGCAGGGTTAGGTGGGATATTGGGAAGGAATTCTTCCCTGTGAGGGTGGGGAGGGGCTGGGATAGAATTCCCTGTGGCTGCCCCTGGATCCCTGGAAGTGTCCCAGGCCAGGTTGCAGCACCCTGTGCTGGTGGAAGGTGTCCCTGCCCACGGCAGGGGGTGGGACTGGCTGGGTTTTATGGTCCCTTCCCACCCAAACCGTCCTGGGATTGATGAAACCAAAACACTTTCTGAGATACTCTGTGGGTCTCAGCTCAGCACAGGCAGGAGGACAAAATGCTACTTCCCTTTTTGTTTGTTTGGTTGGTTTTTCTCCCTTTTTCCCCTCCCCTCTTTTATGATCTGCAGTGGAACCTGTAAAAGGCTCCTCCCCAGTGAGAACCAGGCAAATTCTGAACTGGTGCAACCACGAAACAGGAGAACAGGATCTGGCAGCGGGGCAGGAGCTCCACCAAGTTCAATCAAAATCTTCATTAACCTCCTCAGATCCTCCCAGTGACAGACACGGGTGAGTTTTGATGGAGACTGGAAGAAAAATGTGTCCTTTTTAGCCAGAGCAACTCTCCCCTCCACCAACATTTTGCTGGGTCGGTATTTGAATGGCTGTTTAATGCAAAACATGCAACCTGCTCTAATAAGAGCACATTCATAATTTCTAAGCATGGAGAGTCCTGTCCAAAAGTCACTTGGCTTTGCTCTGGGTGAGGGAAAACTTCAGCAGGAAATGTTGGACTGCAGCTCCTCTTGGCTGAAGGAGCCAGTCCAGCAGGAGCAGCTGTGGGAGCCAGACTGACTGCAATAAGTGAGGCTGCTCAAATCCTGACTGTACTTTGATTTTTTTTAAAATTTTTATTATTATTATTATTTTTTATTTATTTTTTAATGAAAAAGCCCAGTATAGAGTTTATGGCTTTTCGTACAGTTATTTATTTTAGGAATAAGAGATCTGCCAAACACAGCAGGCAGTTAATACCCAATTCAGACTGGGTTTAAATAGGAAAGGAGCTATTGGCTGCATCCTTTGGGATTCTGGGATTAACCTACAGGGAGCTGTAGGTGGCTTTTTCCACAGGCCTTCAGGTGAAACATGAGTTGGAGTCGGCTCCCATGGAGTACAGTGAAGTTTAAATCAGGTGTAGCAGGTAATTCAGATCCTCCTCCACTGAGATATTCTTTTCCTTTGGACAGGGAAGATGGATTTGGAGATGGCATTGAGAGGATATTTTGAAAGAGCATTTAAGAATCCAGGGAGACTTTGCAGCAGCCTTTCAGTGCCAGAAGGGGCCATGAGAAGGCTGGAGAGGGACTTTTCCCAAGGGCAGGTGGTGATGGGATGAGAAGGAATGGCCTTAAGCTGAAGGAGGACAGGACTAGGTTAGATTTTGGGAGGAAATTCTTCCCTGTGAGGCTGGTGAGGGATTGGGGTAGAATTCC